TAGGGTTTAGGGTTCAGGGTTTCCTAGGCCGTCGCAGTCCGAAGCCGACCACTTCACCCGAAAAACCGCACGACCTTTGAGCCCCAAACCCCTTACGTTGCCCTGCAACCTGGCTAAGATTCATAGTTTGGGACCCTAGAATAGCAAGTGATAAGGAATTAGTGTCACAAACAACCTGCATTTGTGGAACCCAAGCCCGGAAATCTGAAACAGGAGGAACTCAAACGCCAAGCCCGAGCAAGCAAGAGCAAACCCCGAACACATCGCGCCAAGCTCTACTGTAGGGGCCTTCTTGGAATTTTGAGGTATACCTATAGTCTCCATTGTAGTTCCTTTTTGGGGATGCCTTATAAAATCCTTAATATATAGCTGGTGAAACCAAAAAAAGGAACTACAATGGAGACTATAGGTATATGATGGGAACCCTTGGGATGAATGTTGGCAAAAAGTCGGGCTCCTACGCAAGACTTCAGAAAATCCGAATTCGCTCTAGGACTCTTGGGATTCATGGGGGTTCCCGCAGTCGGTCCACGATTTAGGGTTTAGGGATGTTTAGGGTTTATACCTTAAGAACCCCAAAACCCACTTTTTTTGAAGGTTCTTACTATAAACCCTAGTATGGGGTTTAGAGGGACCCTACCAAAAAAGTGGGTTTTGGGGTTCTTAAGGTAGGGCCCAAAGACCATACTGTCTGAGGATCTTGGGCCAGTTTGAGCCTTAGGGCAAGTGTTTAGGGTTTAGGGGTTTAGGGTTTAGGGTTTAGGGTTTAGTGTTGGATCGGATACCCAAAAAACCCTAAACAGCGCAGACCCTGCATTTGACCCCAACCCCCATGTCTGCATATGTACACTACACGATTTCGGTGCTCATCTACGTATAACCCAGAACGTATTGTAAAGATCATGGACATATAGATACTTGCAACTTCTACCCCTAACCCTAAACCCTCTTGGAAGTGATTCGAGCCCAGTGGCCGCATGCGCAGCTTGCGCAACCGCTGCTGCCTGGTGCATTGTGGTGTCATGTATGTGGAGATGGGTTAGGGTTCAGGGCGCTTTCAGCTGTCTTGGTGTAAACATGTTTCACAACTTAACCAGCAATTCTACTCTGGCTTCCATGTCCTGTCTACACAAAATCCGGCTCCAGGCACGCAGCTGATGCTACAGCTGTTGTCAAAGCAGCGAAAGCGCACTGCAAGCTTTGTTGGCCGCAATGGAGAACTTCTGGAAGTCATGGCAAACATCGGCTCGCTCTGCGACAACCGTGCTCCCACCCTATCGACTTACTTGCAACAGAGCGCCTTAGCGAAGCGGCCAGTGTCTTTGTTCCGGCAAACACTCACGGGCTTGCCGCGACGCATGAATGTTTCCGACTGGAACTGAAATTCTCCGCACAGGGCCATCTTCTCCTCATCCCTGGGCACCGGGGTTGTTGGAGTCATCTCTTCCGGTTCTTCCTCCTCCTCGTCCTCCTCCTGGGAATCTGCTTCCTCGTCGAGGACATTCCATTGGGCCTTCGTTCCAAATCCCTGCGATTTCAGCGGGTTCTCGTCGACAAAGGCATCCATCGGATTCTTGTTCCGGGGCGCCTGCCAAGGGCTGCAGTCTGGCGCAGAGGCAGGGAACATCTGGGGCTGAGGGCTTCAGGGCTTTCAAACTCATTAAGAACGCTCCGTCTCCCCAACACCCTGTAACGGCCTTAGCCGAGCGAGACGGATTTTTTTGCCGGCTCCGACTGGACTTTCACGTATCTCATAGGGCTTCATATTGAGATGCATATAGGGCCCTAAATGGTAAGAATGGGTTCTGCAGTTTCACGAGTGAGAGTTTCTTGCGTAATCGTGGGGCTGGTTTAAAAGTGGAATAGAGATTGTAAGCGAATATGGCTACGACTACGACCCCTGTAGTAGGCTGATTAAGAAACCGCTGATTCTTTATGAGCTTTTGTTGCGGATGGCACATTCAAATTCAGAACAAGGGATGTCCTCATCAGGTGCAGAATTAGACGAGGATTTTGGGAGCATATGCTTCTAGACTTGTAACAAGGGGGCCCTCAGGAATAATGTTGGCAGTCATTCGTTTAGCCGGAAGGCCTGGACATGCCCTGAATTTCTACGAATGCCCCTTCACATGCATGCTGGAATTTGCAAAACGTCCATTTCGTCACTCCCGAAACACGAGCTCGGTTTCAATGTCAAGCGCATCTTAACTGGAAACAGTTGTCGGCATCGCCTTCCTACTATCTATCAACCTGAATGCTACAGTAGTGCAACCATCTGCATAAAGATGCATGCATCCTTTGTATGCAGCATGTCCACACACAGCCTCCGTCGTCTCAACTTTGCTGCAGCACATCACCTTTCCATTCTTGCGATACTGCTGGCCGGGATTCCTCAGACTGTGGCTGGCTTACGACGGCTATCACCTGCAAGGCTCGAGATTAGAAACCAAAGCGATGTAACGTCAACTGTGCTTCATACTGCTTCGGCATGTCACGAAAAAAGTGCCCTCGCAACA